GTCGGCGCCTGAGTCGAAGTCCTCTTTTCCTAAGTAGGTGGACGCTCCGTCGTTTAGGGGGTTCGCTTCTCCCCATGGAAAGCGGCGAGGCTGAGGTTCTCTAGGAGGTGGGCCGGTTGCCCAGCTAGGTTGTGATCTACCCCCTGCCAGTGGAGCAGTAGATTCACCGGATCGTCTGCCCAAATGTGTGGGCCCGTTGCCGGGCTGAGCTTCAGAGGTTAAGGTAGTATCGAAATTTCCACTGCCAGTTCCCCTCACTGATCCTATGTTGCCAGGAGACCGTTCTGACAAATGGCCTATCGAGCGCATCCTCTCACATAGTTCTGCAGACTGGTGTTGTGTTCGGGGTATTTTGTGGTTGAGTGGTTGTCAGAGTTGCATGGCTCGCTGGTTGCCGACGCCTAAGGCGCGGCATCGGATAGTCGTAAGTAGTTGGAAGTTGGGAAGGTCAAATCCCACCGATTGTGCCTACAGACGGGCCAACTCGAATCGAGTAATGGTTACGTCGATTCGTTCTCCGTGAGGCACGTGGACGTCGATGAGCTCAGTGCCTGAGGTGAGCTGGCGCTCATCCTCCATGCGTTCGAACTTCATGCTTCGGAGGAACATGATGTATGTTACTGGGTCGGTGTGGGCACCGTCAATGTCCGTTCCATAGTTTATGATGTCAGGTAGTACCCTCATGGCGGGTGTCCTCGCGAGGCCGCCCAGGCCGCGTTGTATGGCGGCTGCTTGGGCTTGTGGCGTCATGCGCCCGCTCGTGACGTCAAGCCGCGCGTTAACCTCGTAGACGTACTCGCGAAATGGTACGTTGCCTTGGGGGTCCCAGTATGGGCCATGTGTTTGCCCATCGGTGCTATTGTCTCCTCGGCGCATGTGTCCGATTGCCGCGCCCAGCGCAAACAATATAATGGCGAAGATAACCACACCCAGGCTGTGGAGGTATGGGTGGTTATCAGGCGCGTTGCTGCGCTGGGGCGGGTATATCGGCGCCTTGTCGAGTCTACGAGGCGCTTTATCTTGCGGGTCTCCCCGCTTATGCTTCAGGTACTGCGCTTTCGGTTCGTTGCCGAGCGGTCGGTGATAGCGTAGTGATGAAGCGTATATGGTTCCAATGTTGTTGTCTAGACGTTGTACCTCTCGTGTTGCTTCTTGCTCTTGGGTTGATCCACCTAAATGTTGGTGGAGTGGTGGCGCAGGGTAGAGGATGGTCACGAGGATCGTGCCCGGTAGCGTAAGGATGAGAAGAGCAAGAGCTGACCACACGAGAGTGCGGCCAGCTCCGCTACCAGGTCTGAAATGACTCTGGTAGGTCATAGTGCATCCACTTTCATGTCGAAGGAATACGATATGGGGTGTGGATGGGTAAGATAGGAGAAGATCGATGTATCGGTCTTTCCAGCACATAGCGAATACCAAGTCAGGTATCCGGGCAAATAGAGCGCGCGTGCCTTGAGCCATAAGGCAGCGACGCGCAGGCTATACTCCCATTTGCACATAACATCTCCCGAAGAGCTACCCTTAAAATCAGACGCCCAGAACCACCTGGGCATCCTGGGGCACCCAAGCTTTTCAAGCGGTGCAACAAAAGCGTTGCGCTTTAGACATCCACTGATATTCGGCACGCAGGGCGCGCCATCCTCGAAAGGGCACGCAGGACAAAATAAGCAACACACTTCTGCAAGACAAGCGCGGGGCTTGAACCATCCTCGAAAAACGTGCGCGCAGGGCGCGCCGTCATCGAGCGGGCACACAACAAAAATCAGCATTCTGCCAGCCTGTGTAGAATGTCAGGGCCTCCGAACCTTCTCATGTTATCAAGGAGTCTGCGCAAAACGCGCCCCTGTTCTTACGAACGAAAGCGGGTGTCTGCGGACCCAGTTAGCTGTCGGAGGATCCGAAATAAAGGGAGGCACTTTTCTCGAGCGGGCATGCGCGAACCGCATGAACACAACAAAGCGGGACTACATTGTCTGTCGTAGCGAACAATGTCGACGGCCCTTGTCCAAGATGGTACGGGGGGGTAACAAATTAAATGCGAAACCTGGGCTTCTGCCATTTCCGGAAAAAAATTAGCCAGCATTGAGGCGAGAGCAGAATTCCTGGATCAATTGTGAGGGAATCTCCAGCGGAACGGCTGCCAGACCAGGCGGTCTGGGGCTCCCGTCCCCTCCGTGGGACTCCTTTGGTTGTAATTTCTTGCCACTGGTCGAACCCCTTGGCGAGACGCGTTTGAGGAAAACCGATTCGGGATGAAAAACCAAGGCAGGGGTCCAGACCTCTGGGGAGCCACAATGTAAAACCAATCGAAGAGAATGGGCAACTCCCGTGTCCAAACTGTCACGACGATTGCGACCTCGCGGACGGCGGCTTCCCCTGGCCAGGGAACCCTGGCCTTTACGCGGACTCAACTTTCCGCCCGAACTGAAAGCGCAATGGATTTGACCACTACTACCGCGTCCCACCTGCGACAAAAAGCTGTGCAGACTCCGAGCTCTGCAGACGACTACTCTGGTAGGGAGCCAGATGCGAACCCCACCCCTCCCCCTAAGAAATCGTGGGGGGCAGGGGTGGGGTTCGCATCTGGCCCCCTATCTGGGGAGCCATCTCGCGCAACAATCACGCCGGGAGGCTGTCGGGGGGCGCACGGAGGGCCACGCTGGCAGGCGAGGGGCCCGCGGAAGGGGCGCGGGGTGGGGCCACGGCCTGTCGGTTGGCTGGTCCTTTGACCGGGGAGGCTTGTGAAGCTGGCCTGAGCCACGAGTCCCCCCTCCAATGGCCGTGCCGTCGCTCGGACGTCCATTCCATGTGTTTTTGTTCAGTTTCGTGCGTGTTTTTTTTCGCCAAATGATCAAGGATGCTCCTCGATGGTCCTCGCCGAAGAAAAAATGCACACGTCCGAGCGATGCCACGCCACTGCTCTTCCTCCCTCAAGTGCAGCTGTGATCGAGGCGCCTCCAGAGGAGTGACGCCCGATTTCGCGTTTCGTCTCACACCGTTTTGCTTTTCTCCTGTGCACCGTTTCCTCCACAGACGCACAAGCTCCATGCCGCTACGGAACGGGAACGGCGAGGGCGCTACAATTGTTCAGCCATGGGCGGCTTTGCCGTGTTTCGAGCCCTCATGGATCGATCTGGCTCGGAAAATGCGGCAGGAAGATCAGGTCTATGAAGGGGCCCTGGGGCAGCCAAATCAATACACACAAAGAAAAGGATTCCGCATGTTTTTCCATGATTAGTTTCTAGGTTCCTGTCTTCCCCCCCACTGCCCCCATTTTCACACATCTTCTCGGGAGTCGACGATGAATTGTGCCTGTGTGCTGTTTTCCCTCCTGAGGTCTAGGGCTCTGGGGTCATCCCAAGGCTGTCCACGAGGGTGGCGCCTAGAAAGCTAGGGCTCCCAACTTCGCGCTTCGCGCTGCGCGAAGCGCGAAGCGCGAATAACTTCGCGCTCTCGCGCCGCCCTCCCAAAGGGAGAATAGGAGGACGAGGAGGAGGAGGAGAAGGAACGAGGACCGCGAAGCGCGAATAACTTCGCGCCCTCGAGGGAGCCCTTGGAAAGAAGGGGGGTGTCCCAAAGCATGGCGCGAGGCACGTGCTGGGCCCCCACGGGGGCCCGAGGACGTATCGAGACGAGAGCAGGGGGGGTCCTGACGTCCGGCCATGACTGGGACGCACACCGACGTACCAGTACGATCTGCTCTCCTCTCGGGGATGGACAGACCCCCTTTAGCAAAACGTGGTTTAATGAAAGCGACCTGAGGCCCAACCCTGGCGGGCGCAAGCCTGGGAAATGACGGCCACGGCGCCCTCTCGAGAACCGAAAACGGACAATTCACTAATCGACGTGTCACTGTTGGGGGTTCTGTCCACCCCCGATCCTTGGAGGCGCGCGTCCGACCCGCACGTGTAGTGTAGTAGACCCGTCTTGTAGCATACCGTTTCCCGAGCGGTGTGGCCAGAAAGCGCCCGCCAAGACGCACATACTAGAAGATTTCTCGGTGCGCGCGTCGCCCCTGGGGGGGCGACGCACATATAGTATAAGTATGTTGGGGTGGCGCCGGATGATATTTGCCCCCCCCATGCAGTCATTCCCTCCGCCCTTGGGCGCTTCTGACCCTGAGATCTGGCGCCACGAAAAAAAAACAGGCAACCCCGTGCAAAAACATGTTCGCAACCCCGGACCCAAACTCCCTGCTGCGTTTTTCAAAACGGCTCGATCCGTGAGGGTCCTGGCGTCCGAAACGGGGCAACATTGCCGGTTGTGGCAAAAAGGCGACGCCAGGACCTCAGGGTCTGCCACCCCCCTCCGTGAGGAACGCCACCCAATGTGAGCACCCCCGACATGGGGCAGGGATCGGCCGATGATGTCTCGGCCGCTGCCCGCGCAAGAGGGGGAGAAGCGTGACGAGCGACGAGGAGGGAAAGAGAGGGCGCAGCCACCTTGCCTGGCAGGCACGGGTAACAAAGAAGGGGGAAGGACGAAGAGGAGCCTCGATCCTCGATCCTTGATCCTCGATCCTCGATGCTCGATCCTCGATGCTCGCTCCTCGATGCTCGATGCTCGATGCTCAATGCTCGATGCTCGATCCTCGATCCTTGACGCTCGACGCTCGATGCTCGATCCTCGATCCACGTGGAGCGCGTGCTGCCCCTCGGGGCACTGAAAAGATCATGCAGGCGAGTCCCAGGCCCCAAATCGGCCCCACGTCGTCGGCCGTCAGAGGTACGTGACAACTGCTCCTTTGAGGGGGTGGCGTCAGGGGGTACTGGCTGAGGGGGTAGACATCGAGCTTGAATCGGGGACACACCGCCCATAGATCTGAGACTGGCCTCCAATAACGGAACTACACGTTCCTCGGCGGGGTGGGGCTATCGAGCCCCCATCGGCGATCAACGGGCGACTGGTGGTCGATGCGTCCCCCTCTGAGCATATCCCCCCTTAACGTTGCCCCTGATCATTTGTTCTTTTCGCCACCCGATGCTGGGCTCACCCGGCGCCTTGGCCGACTCAATGATTCTAGCGCTTGTTGCGGCGAACTTCTCGTCCCTCGACAGCAGCTGGGAGTCCTCTTCGCACAAAATCTGGTCATCGGGGAATGCACTCGCGAGAGCCTTTCCGAACACGGCCATCACGGCCGTGTGCGTGACGGTGATCTGGGTACCGTCTTCAAGCCTGCGGATGAAAATCCTTTCCAACTCGGCTCCTCCCAGGCCTATGGCCGACGTCTCCCTCTTCTCCTCCTGGAGCGCCGAGCTCAGGCTCGCCACCTCCATCGCCTGTATCATAGTGCCGATCGCGAGTCCGGCCTCCTTGCCATAGGCGCCGTTCAGGATCTCTGTGGGAACCGCTGTCTTGACGGTCGCGGGCTGGATCTTGAGGCTCACTACTGCGGGCCTCGGGTGCCATGCTGGGGCGTCTGGGGGCCATCAGGGGGCATGCTGGGCCATCTGAGGCGACGGGCTCGACGAAGGGGGCGGGGTCTTGGGGCCCCGACGTCGTGATTTGTTCAACCCGCCCCCCCCCCCACACGAAGTTTCTCCCAGGGCCAGCTTCTCATCCCAGACGTGCTTGACCGTCACGAGACCACGGAGCCCAAAGTAGGCCTCCGGACACCGAGCACTGGAAACAGCTCCGCGCTGATGTTGGCTCCAAGATGCTGGGTGCCGGTGGCCCCCCTTCGGCCACAGCAGACACACGAAGATATGAGAAGGTCTGTGGCCCACAGCGCGGCACCACGCAACCAACAGTCAAGTGTTTCTTTTGCTGAGACTCAAGCAAAGGGGGGTGTATGAGTGAGGCAGGAGGGAAGGATGAGAAGGGGAGGGGGGAGGAGGACAGGGGGGTGGGAATGGAGGGAGGAGAGGTGATGGACGCGAGATGACCTCATTGTTTCAGATTTGCGCTTGGCTGCTCCAGCTAGGACTCAGGATTCCGCGTGTGAGGCGGGAGTGGTCCTGCGGAGGGCCAATGCGGATGTGGCGTCAAAGCACCAATGACTATAACCAGAACCACGGTTTGTTTTGCATTGCAGGCCCGTGTACCTCCTGCAAGGCCCTTCCTTGGCAACCTCAGGTCTACGTCGCGATGACGTCGGCGTTGGCTCCCGACACCAAGTGAATCGTCTAACCTTGAACGATCGCGGCATCGGCCTTTCCAGATAACTGGCGGCGTTTGGCCTTGTGGGTCCGCGCTTGGGTCTCCGCGGCGAGAGCCAAATTGTCAGACCCTGCAGCTTGGATCTTCGTTCTGGGGACCTTCCCAGAACCACTGCCTCCACTCAACCGTCGATGCTGCGTCGAGCGTCCGTCGCATTGGGTCGAAATTAAGTCGACCTGGAGCTGGACGAGAATCAAACAAACCCCTAGGCGGCCCCCAATAAAAATCACCAAAGATACGATGTACGCATTGTTTAAATGCGGGGTTTCCATAAGAATCGGCCCTTTCCTCAAGACCGGCTTTTCTTCCTAAGTCACTTTCAGACGGCCCTGGGGCCCAGCGAACATGGATCGACCCACAAACCTGGAAAGGAATTTGGAAACGCGAGGCATGGCTACGTTTTCAAGACACCTGATTGGGCGACAAACGACCGCAATGATTGATCGTGATGTACCGCGTCAAAGATTGAGCTGTGCTGCGCCGTGCCGAAATGAGATGTGTTGTTCCGCGATGCATTGCGCTGTGCTCTATAGTGTTGTGGATCTAGTCGCCCTTGGCATCCGAATCCTGACCGAACTGATCTGGATCTTAAGCTGGAGCTGCCTGCGCGCATAGATGTCCCAGCGCTAGTTGCAGTCGAAACGTGTGGGACGCTGAATCAGCTCGAGATCGAGATCCGACCCAATTCCGAAACCCGACGAGAAGACGACACGGGGCACAAGGCGCATGGACGCGCCACGGAATGTGCCAGGGGCGCACCAAGGGATGCGCCAGGGGATGTGTTGGCAAAAGACGCGCCACGGAACGGGCAGGGAAAGCGCCGCCAGGGGACAAGCCAGGGAGCTCGACAGAGGACGAGCCAGGGGACACGCCGAGGGGGGGAGGCATAAGCCATCCCTTTGTGGGGCGCTAAGAGCCCACTTGTTGTCACGCTTGTCCCGCTCTGGGGCGTTAGGAGCCCACTTGTTGTCACGCTTGTCCCGCACTGGGGCGTTAGGAACCCACGTGTCTTCACGCGTGTCCCGCTCTGGGGCGTTAGGCACCCACGTGTCTTCATGCGTGTCCCGCTCTGGGGCGTTAGGAACCCACGTGTTGTCCCTCTCCCAGGGCACCGATCCTTCGTAAATGACGGTCCCGCCGCACTCCCAGAACCACCTGGGCCTGCCTGGGGTGCCCAGTCCTTCCAAGCGGTGCAAAACAAGCGCTTCGCTCGAGACATCTTCAAAGATGCGGCACGCAGGGCGTGCAAAGAGCCAACATTCTTTCTGGATAACAAGCGCGGGGCTCGAGACATCCTCGAGAAACCTGCGCGCAGGGCGCGCCGTCCTCGAGCGGGCACGCAAAAGAAAACATGTTGTACTTTGATGCTGAGAACAATAGGGTCTGCAGACATCGTTATTTACCGAAGGTTAGATGCCAAACGCTTCGCCCCATGTTTACGGGCCTGCGGACCCGATATTTATGGAGGATCCGAGATGGAGGGCACACTCTGCTGTACCTCGTCTGTTGTCGCAAAAACTTTCGCCGGCCCTCTTCAAGCTTCAAGCATGGCGCGGGGAGTTGTCCAACAAAACGAAAACTTTGGCCCCTCGCCCTTCTCTGACAAAAAAATGCCGTACTGTTTTTGTTCGGGCCCGGCGAGGGCCCCTAGAGGCCGAAAACGACGACAAACTCACCTCCGTGCAAAGTTTTCCACTACGCTGGAGGTCTGGTTCTTCCCACTCGTGGCTCCAATCTGGCCTGGACCACTTCAGGCATATCACCTACCCTTCACTTTTCGGCGTTCACGCCACCTCCCATGAAGTATTCCGTGTCATGCTGCAGACGGTCATTGCCGCTGCAGAAAGCTCGTCGCCCAGGAGTTTATTGGTACGGGTCGCTGCGGATCACCAAAAAATGCCACCCAGACGGGGCCCTGACACACACACACACACACACACACACACACACACACACACACACACACACACACACACACACACACACACACACACACACACACACACTCGTGCACGGGCCACCCCGGGCCCACGCGAGGCCCAGGAGAGCCCAGACTCGAATCGACAGATCGGCTCGGCGATCGACATGGATCGGATCGGCGGCAAGCGGCAGCCGCATTGGGAAAAGTCGAGCCGGCGGCAATCGGCAAGCTAGTAGGCCCCCGTCGAGGCATCGGAATCCACATCGGAATCCCCACTCGAATCACATCGGCATCGGAATCGATCGAAATCGGATCGAATCGGACCGGAGGGACCGATCTGAGCCCCGGCAGGGGCCACCCGAAGCCCACGCGAGGCCCCCACCCGAGGCCTCGCCACGCGCCGCGAGCGCGGGCGCCCCCGCGCCCGGCCGGCGACCAGCGCCGCGGCGGCCGTGGCGGTCGCGAGCGGCCACAGGGCGCGGCCTGCGCCGGAGAGGGCAGCGGGGCGGCAGAGTCCACCACGACGACGACCTCGACGCCGACGGCTTCGGCATCGCCCGCGAGGACGGCACCGACAGCGACGACGCCCCTGACGACGTCTACGACGACGACGCCCGAGTCTACGACGACCGACGACGACGAGGACGAGGACGAGGACGACGACGATGTCGACGACGACGTCGAGGCCCCTCGTCGGGGCCGAGGTCGCCGTCGCCGTCGTCGTCCTCGTCGTCGCCCTCGGGGCCCGACGGCGCGGAGGGCGCGCTCACGCCCGCGAGCGGCGGGAGGGGCGCGCGGAGCGGCGCCCGCGCCCCGGCGGCTCGCGGGGCGGGCGCCGCGCCGACGAAGGCGGCGGCTGCACCCGCCTCGGGCATCGCGGCCGGCTGCGCTGGCGGCCGCCCGGTGCGCGCCCAGGCAGCTCGAGCTCAGACTGCTGCGGCGTGGGTGGGATGGGGGAGGGAGGGGGAGGGGAGGGGGGGGAGAGAGAGGGAGAGAGGGGGGAGAGGGAGCGGAGTCCGCGGGCGGAGGTCGCCAGCGCCTCCTGCCCGCACCTCTTGTCGGCGGGAGGAGCGGCCCGCGAATGGCGGGGGCGGCGACAAGGAAACCTCCTCCCTGGCGCGGTCGAAGAGGGAGAGGGAGAGAGAGAGGGAGCGGAAGAAGAAGAAAAGGAGAGAGAGAGAGAGAGGGAGAGACCGAAAGAACGAAATCGAGGGGAAGAGACACCGATGCGGACCCGCGGGTTCGAGCGCCGCGCAGACTCGCGTCGCGCGAGCTCACGAAGAATGCGGCACCGAGAAGGGCAGGGCGAACCACGCGTTGAGACCCACCGTGGAGGTGCGACGGGGTGGCCCCCGAGCCTCGCTCGGTGCTATGCACCAGGCATCGTCGCGCAGGTGGAAGGCGACATTGGCGTGACGCCGCTGCATGGAAAAAGAGAGGGCCCCCGCATGGCATCCCCGCCGGGCCCCTGAATTGAGCAGGGACCGACCGCCCCGGCATTCCTATAGTCCTACCACGAAATGCTCCGAGAACCCAAACATGTTCTAAGAACAACAGCAATGCTCCTAGAACACAGGCCCGATGTGATAAAACAAGACCGTCCCAGCCAGAAATGTTCTAAGAACAGTTCGTGGGAACCACAACATGTTCTTAGAACATTGTTTGGTAGGGCTATAGGCGAGCCGGGACGCTTCGCCACTGCTTGACTGAACGGCAACCGCGGGCCGCACACCAGGCGGTGGGTGCGGGCCGTGAGCGGCGGCCGGCAGCCCGACGGGCCGGACCGAGGCAGGTGTGCCGCAGCGGCGCTGCAGCAACCCCAGGGCGGGGCGCACGGCCAGCGAAGGGCCCGCGGCCTGGTGGTACACGGGGCCGGGGGGCGCAGGGGACGCAGGAACACTGCGGCGGAGGCCTTTACGCAGCCGAAGAGCGCCTGGCGTGGCACAGGGCGGGCAGAGAGGAGGCGTGCCAGCGGGTCCGAGGCCAGGAGCCCGTCGTCGCGGCCAGAGGACATACTGAGGAAAGGAGCGTGACGGAAGAAGAAACCGTGAAGCACGCACAGCGGACCCCCCCCCCCTGGAAGGGCCGCAACTCCGAAGTAGGCAGGGGTCCGCCACCACGGAGGAGGGGAGCGAGGGAGGGAAGAAAGAGAGGAGGCGGCAGGCAACCCCCGTCGCGGCAAGGGTCAGGGCGGGCGTGTCCTCCTACAGAAGCATTTTGGACGAAAAATAAAAAAATCAAACATGCAATGTTTCTGGCATTTTTTCCTAACCATCCTGTGGTGTTGGGTCCTCGTTTTGACGAGACAGCACCCCGCGTTCCTCACTCCTTCCTTACTCCTCCCCCTCCTTCCTCTTCTCATCATCATCATCATCATCATCATCATCAGCATCATCATCATCATCATCATCATCATCATTATCATCATCATCATCATCATCAGGAGCACCATCGTCATCATCATCATCATCATCATCATCACCATCACCATCATCATCAGCATCAGCATCAGCATCATCATCACCACCACCATCACAACCACCATCACCATCACCATCACCATCATCATCATCATCATCATCATCAGCAGCAGCAGC